GGTGATGGGATGTCCCATGTCGGATGTTAGGCTATGCTGCAAGAGTGCGAGAGGCATGCTCTGTTATCTTCCACTAATAGTATCAATAAATTACCTCATTTAACTTTGGATTTGTATGCTCAGCTTCAAGCTGAACTTTCCTCATTTCAATGATTTAAGGAAAAGACAAATAATTTGATTGGTTTGATGATGGGTAACTCTGCTGCTTTGATGGCATGGCAGGTAACCATGGCTGCTGCCTTCCCAAAGTATGGAAAAAGTGTAGAGGGAGTCTTAATATATGGTTTAAAAAACCTACCATGTATCTCTCAGGGTTCAAACCTGAGACAGGCACACTAACAGAAGACAACATGACAACATTCCATGGTGATGCTCCTCCTGTAAGAGCAACCTTCAAGGGCAAGGAGGTTGTCCAAAGGTGAAGCCCAGCTCCTCACAGCTGTGCATGATGAGAGGACACAAGGCAACTGGCGTAAGCTGAAACTAGACAGGTTCAGACTGCACGTAAGGAAAATCATCTTCATCATGAAGACAGCCAAGCAGTAGATCAGATTGTTCAAAGAGGTTGTGCAGGCTCCACCCGTGGAGGTTTCCAAAGACCTGGCAGGAGCAAATTGGGCTGACCCCAGGGCTGACCCTGCTCTGAGCAGGTTGTACTGGAGACCTCTTGAGATCCCTTGCAACCTGAATTAGCCTCTCCTTTTGCCAAAAAAGCCTCACCGCATTGTGCTGCAGAAAAGTGTCTTACAGCAGTTTTGGATTGACTGTATAGATTGAGGCTGTTACATTTACTAGTGGGACTTTTATGATAAGAATGATAATCTATGATTCTATGATCCATTCTAATGCTAAGAATACATATTGACCTCTATCTTAAAAGCAGAATTCAGTACCTGAGTGAAATAGTTGCGGATACATTAGTTGATTCTCATTTTAAGAGATAAAAGCAATGTTTTGTTTTGTTTTTTTTTAAATTCTAACATCTTATTTTTATAAAAGATAAAAGTAATTTTAGTAAGTAAAAACTGACTCATTATTATGCATAAGCAATTCCCAGCCTGGGACTGGATAAATTTTTATTATTGTTGTTACTATTAAAGCAATAGTAAAATAATGAAGAAGGCTGTGGATTTATAAAATATTCAAGACAGAGATGTGGCCATACAACTTATAGACAGAAAATAGGTTCTTACTATTTTACTATGCAAAGTTATGGGGTGTTACTTCTGCACTTGCCTCGTTGTACTTCTTTTAAAATTATAATTCTTAGCACATACCTAGATTTTTCATATACTCCAGTCTGTGGGCTGTCTTGTGCCATCGATTTTGGGCAAACCATCTCTTGTTCTTAATAGGGAAATCTGTTGATTTTCAAAAGAAGTCAGTGGTGCTACATGACTCATTAAGGGATGTGGTTTTGATATTAAGGCAGTCAGGTAGCAGCTCCCAAGACCATTGCCCCTTCAGAAGCAGACCCTCTCCTTGCTGTGCATGGGTGATGGGCACTGGAGTCCTTTGAGTTCCTAGCTCCTTGGTGCATCCTTTCTCTCTCCCAGTTCTTTACTGGAATGAAGCCTGTGGCAAACCCCCAATGTGAGCCACAGCATGTCCCCAGTCTGGATAATTAGCAGTAAAAAAGTAGTTTGTCTGCTAAAACTTTCCATTACCCACTGAAATGTGGCCCTAAAGTGAAAGGTCAGAGGTAGGTACCATCCTTGCAGGATGAGGGGAGTAACAGAGTGCTGGGCGTTTGATGTGATGTCTGTTGGTCGTTACTATCCACTGCAGGTAAGGAGGCAGCTCTTTGAAAGTGATTTTTTGGGGCGAACTTGCATGGGGAGTCCACAGAATGTCTGATGTGCTCGTTGATAACCTTCCCTTCATGGGTGACAGGAGTTTCTAGGGACCGAGTTTCAAACTAATCTGTCCGTGCCCTCAGTTTTAGGACTCTGACTCATATGTGGGAGCAGGTTAAAAGTTGTACAAAGCAATTATTTTCCCCGCTGCCAGCCTCATCCTGTTGACAGTGTTTGTGCCGCCGTGCCCTGGCAGGGACTGAATGTCTGTGGAGCAGCTCCTGAACTGCTGTGGTTTTAGGAGCTGTGATGAATGGAGCCTCACTCCAGAGGCTTGATATTGATGCATCCTAAAGTTAAAGCACTCAGTTTTGTCTCTGTATTGTTAGGAGGTGGCCTGCTAGCGTGGTAGTTTTTTGCAAGAAACCAAAGTGGGCTCTTATTCTAGATGTTGACCCAACCAACATGTTGAATACTGCTGCATGTTGTGTACAGATACTCATTTTGCTGTTTGGTTGGTATGTGCTGTCGTCTCAGTTGGACTTCATACTCGATTCTTTAATAAACAAAAAAATCCAGGATCTCATTTGGCTGAGATGACACCACAAGTTTGATGTTTTGTTCTTGCACTGATCTGTAGTTGGGAATCTGCCCAATTCCTTTCTGGAACTACTCTCATGAGGAGTTCCCAGGGACATGGAGCATTTGTTAAAAAAGGAATGAAAAGTTGCTTATAGGTGTTTTCCCCTAATCACAGTAGGTCCAAAAAGTGAAAGCCTCAGAATTTATTTAATTTTGGTAGCTAGGGCTGGATTAATGTGCACTATTTTCAGTGCTCATTCCACTGCGGTTTATTTTGGGTCATTTCATTTCAACAAGGCTTGATCTGTTTACAGCGCTTTCTATAGTAGCGTGACGGGGCCACACAGCTCTTTTATAGTACGTTCATTGCTAACCAGGAGCTCAGAAAACTAGTAAATGAGGCACAGACATGAACAAGTTTAGAGAGGACAGTACATTTTTGTATGGTTGGATTATTTTGGAAAGTTTTCTGAAATAACCAATCTTTTGTGCACTGTGAGTTGCTTTGCAGAGCTTGAAGTGCTGGTATATGGTAGCCGTGTGCTTTCAGAGGCAGGAGCAGGGGGCTGGCTGAAGGCAATCTTCAGGTTTAAGGTACTTCAAAAGTCACTGGGGTTGAGAGTTACTCTCAATCCTTATTTGAGGAGCACTTTTGTTTCCAGAGGTAGATATTTCCATCAGGTAGAGTCATTTGATTTGACTTTTCTGGTTTAATTTTCAGATTTGCTGTATGAACCATTCATATACAAAATAGATGAAGGTTAAATAGGTCTCAGTTAAAAATGTCTCATCAGCCAACACGAAAGTGTATGTATGCTCATTGCCTGCATTGGGCATGCTCCAAGTTAACGTTATGAAGGCTTTACTCCCTCCAAATGGAAGAGCCAGCCTTCTTCTGTGTCCATCAAATCGTGACTATTTCTGTTTCTGCTCATGCCAGCTGACAAAGTAACACTCCTTTTGTGTCCTTCGTTAAACCAGACAGAATTAGTAACTCGCGCAACAGAAGTCAGAAAGAAGGCACAACGTCCTGAAAATGGCTGCACCTATACTGGCAGGTTAAAACGGCACCAAGAGGTGTTCCTGAGTGCCGAGACCAGTCTTTTTCTTAAATGTTTGGCTTTCCTGAACTGTTCCGGCCTCTGCCATTGAGCGTACTCCCAAACAGCGGCCAGGCACAGTTTGGGTAAGGGCTGATCTCAACTGTTTAGTAGTGTGGAAATAGCTGTTTGCGTTCCTGTCAGCCTCAGTACTGGAGAACCTTCCTGGACATGTTTAACTTACTCCTGTGTAGGTAGTTATTACATCCTTACAGCAGATCAGAGGCAGAATCAGCAGCGTTTCAGTGTCTGAGTAAAAAGTGTAACACTAACGGTGTTGTTCTGGGACATTCGAAGTGTCTTGAAGGTTTTGTAGCAGTTTGTGTGTGTGCATATGAATACACAGTCAGCATACGTGTGTATTGTGTGATGCCCTTGCATAGGGATCTTAATCTTTTCTTTGGCATAGGAGGATATTCCTGCTTGGCTACGAATTGCAAAGCCCTTATACCAGTGAGTGGAAAGTTTAAAAAGCACTTTTAAAAAATGTCTCAATTTGGAAACTTATCTTCTACAAGTTGAGTGTGTCAAATGCAGTTTGACTAATGCTCTAGGTCCTCTGGTCACAGCTCTTAAAACTCTGTGACTGTTTGTGAGCCGTGTCATCGAGGAGCTTCTGATCTCAGCTGGTCTTGCCCTGCAGCCGCTCAACCTACTGGTGCACCCTACAATCTTCCTTTCTCGGGGAAAACATATCAGCACGACTTGTGCTGCTCTACCTATGTTTTGGTCAGCATGCACTGCTTGTAGAGATGTGCTCCATGTCCATCTGCTCCAACACAAGCCACCTCAGAGGTGACTACCCACCCATATTTTTATTGCCTCTTATTGTCTCATATCTGTCTAAAAATTCCAGCTTTCAGGTTGATCAGGAGCTCTCCTTTTGCTGCGTACCTTCAGATTTAGCTCCATGCACTGCTTCTGAATTTAGCCTGTGAAAGGACCAGCTTGGCTTCTGTTCTTTTATACATAAATGGAAGTAGTTCAAAGTTGTGCTGATGAAGCCAGAAGGCAGTGAACTGGAATAAGGGCGGACACAAGCAGAAAGTGGCTACTTTAGACCCTTACTGCCATGAACACACAATTATTTTTTAATATAGTGTGCTTAAAAGCTACATTTCTCTTAAAGAAGGTTTAAATTTGTTATTCATAATGTAACATCATTTATAAAAACATTTCTGTTATGGTAACACCAGATACTCTAGCCAAGATACCATGAGAGGCATTTCAGGCAGTCTGGATAATATGCAGAGTATTAATTGTGTAGCAGTGATCTGTACTTAACAAGGAAAATGCTGTTTCAGTCTTTCTCTTTTTTTTGGTGGCTAATAGCCTTAGTGATCAGTCAGAGGTAGTGGGCTGAGGCAGAGCTCAAGGCCATCAGCTCCTCCCAGCCTACTGCATAGTTCCCAGGAAACACCCTGTATTTCATTAGTTCTTGCTTAGTTTATGGTGTAATATTTTGCTCGAAGGCATTAATCATCAAAAGCAGTGGACCAATTAGTGTGACTTCTTTTTCCAGGGTCGTTGTACAAGGGAGAACTGCAAGTACCTTCATCCACCAACACATTTAAAAACTCAACTGGAGATCAATGGCAGGAACAACTTAATCCAACAAAAAACTGCAGCAGCAATGCTTGCCCAGCAAATGCAGTTCATGTTTCCAGGGACACCACTACAGCCAGTGGTAAGTATATTTCTCTGATGGTGTTATTGGTAAGTAACGTTGAAGTAGAAGAATATACTGATCTGCAAAAGTTCTCTAAACTACTGTCAATAAAAATAATCCCCTGCTGACCTAAGGAACTGTCGAGGTGCTAGAGGTATGTTCGTTTGTGTTTGCATTTGAAGATATAATGGAATGTTGCTGTAGATTTGAGATATTTTTTTAATCTTATAATAATTTGCTATTTTTTTCTCTCTCCTCCCCCCCGCGCCCCCCCGTTCAATCAATTCATATCAGGTTTAGTCTAAATTTACAAGGGTTTTACCTATAATCCTTCTGGAGGTGAAAATTTTAATAATAATAATAATTTATTATTATTTTAATTTATTATTATTTTAATTTATTATTATTATTATTATTATTA